TTGCCAAGCAAGGTGGGTCGTTTGTTTTGGCTGTGGCTTCAACCGTATGTCTTAATAATCCTTTCATTCACCCTAATTAGTTAGCTAGCTTACTCTTTTTCATGTTTACCTGTATTATTAGATTCGGCGTATCACTACAATGAAACAGAGTCAAAAAGACCCAGACTACTGGGTGAGTCTGAAAAAGTCGTGGACTCTGCCATTGATCCCAGAAAGATATCTGATGATATCATCGGAGACAGACGAGTCCGTTTGCCTGGAGGAGTCGAATCAGCAAGTACTTCATATGAGGAGGCCTTTCGTGCCAATATAAGCGTAAGTCTTTATACTTATTGAGACTTTGTTCCTTTAGGATCTCAGAGCAAAGTTTCGAGCTCAACAACAGCAGAAGACGTCAAAGGGCGATAACTTCGTAGAATGTGGCTCTGTACACCTTGGTATAAGGGGCCCAGATATTAGTACAGAAATGGGAAAAAGTGAATTGAACTCTGCCCTATCGGTCTCTGCTGCACTTGATGGGTCTCTTATTACTAGTGATGCCACTGGTTATCTACAGCGCCCCTCTTTCGTTGGACAAGAGTTATCTCAGCAACAACAAAGTATTATTTCTACAGATGACGTTTCTTTGGGTTCCACGATCAACGTTCGTCCCATCGAACCTGGTGTGGAGTTCATGCCCCCAGGGCTCCGTTCCTCATCTTTTCTTGCACTTGACAAGGCTTCTGTTCGTCTGATAATCCAACGCGAACGAAAGTGGCGCACACGCGTCACAGTCCTCCAAAGTCAAGGAAAGTTGTTCTATGAAAACATTGTTCAGGGTATCCTGCGTAACGCCACGGTAAGTGATTGTGATATACTTTACGCATATTGATAATTCGACATCTGACTACTGTTCACCAACATACTCGATTGCTTGACTTACTTAGATGAAAGAAAATGCTTACCCTCCAGGGTACAATCGCGGGATGAACATTCCTAATGCTATGCGTACGGGAGCTGGAGCTGGAAATATACCTTATCCCCCCATACCCTTGGTTGCCGGTTCATTTTACCCTGCATCCAAAAACCCTGGCCAAGTTGGAACTGCACCTATCTCGAACCACGTTTCAGGTGGCCATTATCCTATAAATAGAATACACGCTAGTAATTTCAACCAATATGGACATGCATACCCTCCTGGCTCTTCAATGGCCTTGAGTACAGGGCGTGAGCATGGTGGTATGTCTGCTGCACCAGCTGGGCCCGGTTAGTATATTTGATTCAACCCTTTGATTTTAATCATCTTACTCCATTTGTTTTACCTTACAGGTCAGTTGCACTATTCTCGATATGATCAGGAACGTTTTGATGCTGGTAGAGAAGATGATACTGTAGGCTTCGGTATCGATACGATGGCGACTTATCATGGTAGAGCTTTAACCTCTATGATAAGTGGAGCTGTTGCTGCCGGTTCTGTTGATCCCAATTCAAGTGAGGTTAAGAAGC